ACAAAGTGTTTTAGTTCATTACTTGGTTTTTTGACTTATTTTAGATTTGGGTTACGTTTTACTGCAAATTAATATTCGCATCCGTAGCAGTAAACTATTCTTTTGTTTTGCTTAACTTTTGCTACCTTTAATCACGTTTTGCAAATTCAGAGGTATTTGGAAACTTAAAGCTTTAAACTTCATAATTACTTCTCTCGCTTAACAGTGGAGTTTGTTTTTCATTTGAATTTGGCTGTTTTTACAGTCAGCAGTCCAAGGAATGTGACAGCGGTTGATTAAATGTTTCTTGCAGTTTTTTCTGGCTTTTCAAGTAATTGTATTAATATTTTTTGTGTTTTCAGAGTGATCCTGAAACTCTTCAAATCTTTGGACCAGTTCCATATAAGGATCCAGTTACTCAAATGATAACTTGTCCAAAATGTCATAATGTTGTTCCACAAGACAAAGTAATGGAAGCTCTTAGCATAATGAGAGATATTGGAAGAATTGTGGATAATGATGAAGTTCAACAGGTCTCTTTTTGATCCGAACTTCTGTCTTTATTTTCAAGTGCTGTTTCGTTTTGCTATTTCAGTTTTGGCATTTCAAATTTTTAAGTTTTACTAGTAAAAGAGTATCTTGTATTGAGTCGCAGTGAAATACGTTGAAGGTTATCATTATTTCTCTTTATTGTTCGACCTATTAGTTGATTTTTATTGATTAACTTGCTTCTTTTTTTTATAGATGCCAAGCAGCGAAAGAGTACCTTTTTTGAAGGACTTGCTTAGTAAATCCAGTCGAGTTCTACCTCCCATCAATGTTTACCTTTGTAAAATTGTCCAAGTGCGTTTTGATTTTCCATTATTTTTTACAGGTCAAAGAAAGTGTTTCTGAGAATTCGCAAGCACTGCTTGTTGTCTTTGTTCTTTCTTTGGAAAAAGTTGTATTGTTTAATGTTTTTTAGGCCCTTATTCTCTTAACGGATTCATCCGACTATAAGACATTGCTAGAAACTCATTTATTATCGGAGAAGTGTGTTCGCTTCTGTCTACCGCCGAATCATCCTGCTGTTGCTTTTCACCTTCGGAACATTGGCATTTTTTACTCGAGATGTAATCAGCCTCATAGGGCTCAATTCTATCTGGAAATGGCACAAGAAATACTAGACTTTACATTGGATTCAGATCATCCATTGTCAGCTGAGAATCGGATTCTTCTTGAAGAGACTGGAGAAGAAGTCCGTAAAGCACGACGTATCGTGTTGGGTGATTCAGTCGAAGTGAAAACTAACAAAAAAATTGTATGCCTACAATAGTTATTAGATTATATGCTTGTGTATGACATAATTTTCAAATTTTTTCTAAGAAGCTGTTTTGGATTTTAACGTTTTGATTTGGCAAACCAAAATTGTTTGCATTTATAAAGCCGTGCTTTCAGGCGCAACCTAAGATCGAAGAGAATGTGAAGTATAATTTAGCTGGTGAAGGAGATGTTGAACTTAGAGAAAACGCGACTAAAGTATAGTAAAGTAATGTAGAGAAATTGCTTTTATTAATGGTTTTTTGAACTATGAATATTGGTTGCTTTTTAAATTTATGTGCAACTGCAGTGATAATACTCAATTGAAACTTTTATATTTTGTTTTGTTTATTTGAAAAAATTTTTTTTGACTCAATGTTATGCCTTTCTAAACTGTCCAGACGTGCACGAGTTACTCAAAACTTGTTAAGAGGAAAGTGCACCAGAAGTTGTTCACTAGATACACTAGTTGTGAATGTAGGCTTCTAGTAATTTTAGATTTTCTTTTTAATTTTATAGACGGGATGAAGTTTCTTTTACATATGTAAGTGGAATATTTTTGCTTGAAAAAACTGTTGCTCTGCTCAATTTTTTGTCATTGATGCAGTTGTTGTTTGAACTAATTTCCAAAACTTGTTGTATTGTCTTTCATTTGTGTCATTTGCATTGTGAGGTGCCTTCTTTATTTAATCCTTAATTTACTACACCAATAAAGAATTTTTAGTATTCTCATTATTGCTTCTTGTCGCGTTCTATCGCGCCAAATCTGATACTTGTAATGCCTGTTCAAAGAGATTTTTTGAAGTATTTATAATAGAGATCGTTTTCGCTTGAAGGGGACGGAACAAATGCAGCAGTGGTTTTGGGAGGTTTGAACAGTAGTGGTGTCGATTTCTGTGTTTTTGTTTTTGAAGACTGTGGTTTACAGCAGCACTTTGCCCAAGCTAGTTTTGAAGCATTACAGATGATCCATGTTTTTGCTTTTAGAGGGAAAGAAAGAAGACAGTCAGCGGAAGTTAGGGTTTTCAAATGCCCGAGGAAAATCACCGTTGGGGCGATTACTACCTTTCGGGCGGAAGGAAACGTAAATCATGGCTTTTGGAAATGATACATCTGATCAACCAGTCGATACCAACATTTAATGAGCTGTTTGATGAGGTAAAGGAGCGTAGTAATTTTTTTCCGTTTTAATTTTTCCAAATTAGGTACTCTCTAGTGGCGTTTCTGCTTTTCTCATGCCATAAATCTCTGAGCTTAAGTTTACTACTCGTATAAATTTGATGGGTCTTAACTTAGGGCGTATACGATTCTCCCCAATTTGATAGACAAAACTGAAAGCTAGTATGTGCAATATTTTGGAGTATTATTGTTTTTTTTTTTTTT